TTTCCTGTGCCCTTCTAAACAATGCCATAGGCACTACATAAAAGACACCTTTATTCATTACATTGTACAGCACTTAGTCAGTGATAAAAGTACAAAAATTCTGATATGTCCATGTGATATGGAGTCCCAGCAAGCACTCGATATAACACGTATCTTAAGTAATTGAGGACCATCTAAGATTAGTAGACGAGCAAACTACAGCGTCGGTAAGAATAAAGCCACGTGTGAGAGTACAGGGCGCAAGAAGGCGACGGCGAGACATAGAGACGAGCGAGAACGAAGAGCATTGCCGATGTATGTACAAGACGCGAGGCGGAAGTGTAGCTGAGCGCGAGCCGAATCCGCCAAGTGTAAGAGGGTGCCGTAAGATGAGCATACGAGCCGGGAATGAAAGGTTGAAGTGAGAAGGCACCGAGAGCAGCAAGTGTTCAGATTGTATCAGCATAAGCCAGAAGAGGGAGAAGACCAGAAACTGAGCACGAGATGCGAGAGCGCGAGCATGCCAGTCACAAGGGGCGGAGAGCAAGGCTTGCAAGGCATATGAGCGAATGACGGCGTCGAGTAAGGAGCTAAAGGGGAGAGATGAGGCGGCGGAGAGACGACAAGTCTTACTTCGCCGCGGCGGCAGCCTTGAGTGGACGCAGCTTGATTTTCTACGAGCGGAGCAGCGCGTCAGATGCAACATTTACAGCTGAATGCACTCACAAAAGAAGAGGTGAAGATCTAGAATACATATAATTGAGGTGAACCCGTTCCCTCCGAACAAAGATCGTGACACACCTGTGGCTCAGCCAGTTCTTCGGTGTCGTCCTCGTCTCTCGCGGCGGGGGATAAACGCGGTCGCGCCTCGACCTTCCCCCGCTTCCCCTTCGCCCCCCCCTCGTCGTGCGCCTTTCCTCTGACCTTCGTCTTTGGCGGCTCTCGTCCACTTGCTTTCTGCTTACCCTTACCCTTCGCGCTGTCGACCTTCTTCCGAACCAGACCCTCTTTCGCCGGATCGACTGGGTTAGGGTCGCGCGTCTGCTTTCCCGAGCCTTTGGTCTCTAGCATGGATATCTCACCTGACTTGCGTGTATTGCGACCTCGAGCGTCGGTACGGGATCTGGTAGAGCCCTAGATATGATGTTGCCCACGTGAATATAGCTTTGATATATCTGAATAATGCTCACCACCATGAAGTCATCCTCTCCCAGCGATGCGAATTCCCCGTTAGCGGCCTTCTGCTGCTTGACAAACGATGGTCCCGGGGTTGCATTCCGAGGGAGCGTTTTGCGCCGGATTTTTGCAGGTAACCTCCCAGCATCCTAAGCCATACGGAAGATGTTAAATATAGTATAGCATAGAGGAGTTGAAAAGCGCACCTCGTCGCTGTCACCCTGCTTACGCTTCTCACCGGTTACGGGCACGGGTTGACTCACTGTTCCATCGGGGACCACCCCGTTTGACTTCTTCCGTGAGCTCTACGGTCCTGTGGCGGGGGAGCCACAGTCCATTACAGTCCCAGTTCCCACGCCATTTGGGACCCCGGCCTCTCCATTCCCCGTCCATCCCGGCCTGCTGGAGGGCCAGATACACGCCTCCCGTGCTTCAAATATTGTATATACTTGCAAATATAATCTATGCTATTGTTAGTAATATTTGAGGGTCAAAGAAGCACATCAGGCGCTCGGGAACCCTACAAACGCGCGGGTGAGGTAACCAGATATCTACCCGAGGGACTGTAAATGCCAAGGCTATGGACTGTGAATTTCGCCAGCGGAAATCGCGTCGTGACGCGATTTGGCGCGGGCGAGCGCCAAAATCGACCCCCTCCTCAGCTAGGTTCGGGTCGGGAAATTCACAGTCCCAACCGCGGCATCACAGTCCACTCGGCACCCAGATCTGTGGCTTGCCCCGAGCTTTAGCTGACCTACTTGCTTGCTCCTGGTATTTATTCCTTACTTAACTGCACTGTACCGTAGCTGCACATGTACTATAGTTCAAATAAATTTTATTCCGAATTTTCTACCCTACCGTACCCTCATGGAGGAGGCTGCATCTGCCCCGCCCTCCCGAGCTTGACTTGCAG